GATGGATGGATGGATGGATGGATGGATGGATGGATGGATAGATAGATAGATAGATAGATAGATAGATAGATAGATAGATAGGGAGAGAGAGAGATTATTGTAGAGCAGAGGAACCTTTGTGTCGCTGTTGTTGTCCGGGGGCATTTAATGATGTGACTCACAACAGTCCGTTGTTTCCATGGATTCCACCGTGTCAGGACGGATAGTTAGCATAAATCCCAAGGACACAGAAGTGACATGTGTGTGTCGCGTGTAGCTGTGTAGAGCTACAGGCTTTACACGTGTTCTCAGTTTACACTCGACGTGAAGAGAACCAGGATGAACCGGTTCAACTCCAGCGTCTCCGTGGACCAATACCTCGGTACGTCCCTGTGCTAGCTGGTTAGCTCTTTAGCTTTAGCTCTTTAGCTTTAGCTCTTTAGCTTTAGCTCTTTAGCTTTAGCTCTTTAGCTTTAGCTCTTTAGCTTTAGCTCTTTAGCTTTAGCTCTTTATTCTCTGCCTCAGTAAGACATGTACTCTGTGTGTGTGTGTGTGTGTGTGTGTGTGTGTCACAGCTGACAGTAACGTGCTGTTCTACCTGAGTGATGCAGTCACTCAGCTGCTGGAACATAAGGAGGAATACACTCAGTTCGGGCTGATCCGATACTTTGCTGAGTAGTAAGAGTTTCTATTTACATCCACATCACGTGTTGTCATCAATCAGTCAGACTTTATCACCTGCAGGTCAAAGAGCTGCACGTTTCACTGATGAGCCAGCAAATCTCACTATGAAATGCCATCAAATACATTTTAAAAGCACTAATAATGACAAAAACATTTAAAAAGTAAACTGAATGCAAGAAATAAAAGTAAATTGAATATAAACTCTATTAGAAATGCCTGAAGCTTACGTTTGAAGGTTTCAACACTTCCTGTTGCTGCATGTTCCAGCACATCAATTCAAATGAGCTTTGAGGTTGGGTTATACTTAGCTCCTTGTTTTGTAACGTGTGTGTGTGTGTGTGTGTGTGTGTAGTTTCAGCAGCGTAAAGAACAGTAACCACGTCCTCTTCCGAGAGTACAACTACATCAGGGCCACTCCTCACAACAGAGCCTCCTTCATCAGAGTCTTCTGGAGATGTTTCAGACAGATCGGCAAGAGTGGAGGTGAGAGACAAGTGTTTAGGGTCTTGTTATGTTGTGGTTGTGTAACTGCTTATTGTAATTCTAGACATGAGGATTTGTTGATGACAGTGAAAGAACTGTTGGATTCTCTGACTCTTTAGTTGTCGTGGTAACTGAACAACCAGGCTCCTCCCATCAGTTTCACGTGTTGTTGTTGTGTTGCAGACTTACTCTCCGTGCTGGAGTACAGGTCTCTGCTGCAGTTGTTGTGTCCAGACTTCCCAGTTGAGGTGGTGCAGAGTGCAGCCAGGTCAGTGCACAGACACCACAGACACCACAGACACACTACAGACACACTACAGACACACTACAGACACACTGCAGACACGCCCCAACCAACCCTTTTAGATTTTGTGAACAGTAGTAAAAGATGTCGCTCAAAGAATCACTCAGTTGTTTCCTTGGTCTTCAAAGCTTTAACAGTTAAATATTAATATTAAGTACAAGCTGTATTGCAGTAGCATAGATTTGGCCCACCTGATTCAAATATAGTATAAATATATTCCCTTGATATGTTTTAATCTCCTATCACCCACATATTGTGGATGTAGTGTGGTTTTGGCTCTTGGTTGTTTTGTTACATGTTGCTGCTGCGGGGGTCAGATCTGTTAATGAGCTGTTCACCACTGGACTTAACTCATTGACATTATTTAACTCGTTTCCTTTTCTTGTCCTGTAGAATTGTGCTGATGGACGACGCCATAGACTGTCTGATGTCTTTCTCTGACTTCATTTACGCCTTCCAGCTGCAGCTCTACTACCAAGGTACAACTGTTGACGACGTGGTTTTCATGAAGAGAAAAAACAAAGTCTATCAATGAGCTCAACTGAATCAAGCAGAATTCAACCCCCTTGACCTCTGACTGTCCACTCTCCCCTGCGTAGAGTTCCTGGACAGCGTACTGATGATCTACCACGACCTGTTGGCGGGGAAGAGTCCCAACACCGTCATTGTCCCCACCTCCACCTCAGTAGAGCAGCTCCCCTCAGTGGCCGCAGAGGAGAACGACAAGGAGCGGCAGCAGCAGCCGGACGGCGTGGAACCGTCCACTCTGGCCCAGAGTATAGACGCCCTCTGTGACCGGTTCAAGCACAGGTGAGACACACATGCATTGCGTCGATTGTGTGATTTTTGTGACAAACGGGTGTGTTATTGAACTCTAACTTTAGGGTGTGTCCTTGTGTGTCTGTGTCTGTGTGTCTTTCTGTGTGTGTAGTCATCCTACCAGGTCCTGCATGAGAGAAGTTCTAGAAGACACCGATAAAATCTGTTACTACAGCTTCTTAATGAGTCTCTCTAAACACGAGACCATCAACCAAACTATTGGTAGGTTTAATATCACCCAGGGTTAGAGACGGCTTTACTTCTTACAGCACATCGAGCAGACACAGGGCAACAAGTCGAGTTTGTCTCCATCTGAACCATCTCTCTCTGCAGGAGTGTTACCGAGCAGAGCAGAGTTACTTGTTGACCCAGAGATGGACCAGGAACTGGACAAACTGTGAGAGCTGTTTTCTCTTTTCCCTCGTCACTTTTCTTTCTTTGCTCTTTACTTCCTGTCCTCCCTGCCGTCTCTTCTCTTCCCTCTGCCTCCCTCTGCAGTTGTTTTTTTTACATCTCGTGCTCCTTCCTGTCCAGAATCGCTCAGATCTCGGTGAGTCCCAGCAGCAACAGCAGCGGCAGCGCGGTGGTCGGGCTGAAGGAGCTGCAGAGGAAGGCGTCGCCCAGGAGGAACATCCACCACAGACGGAGGATCGAGGTGGAGAGCGACGGCTCCACCGAAGAGACCGACTCCTCTGAAAACTAACTTTCACCGCTCATGTCATCTTCCATCTTCAGTCCTGAACACAAAGTGGCTGCATGATACGCATCAAAAACGTCCTGCCCGTTATTGGCTGCGTTTACTCACTCGCCTGACGGGGATAAGAGCGATAGAGCTTGAGACCATGTGATAGTCACCGGTCACATGACGCACCCCCGCTCTGCAGCTGTAGTGTGTCCTGAAGTTTTCTGTCTCCAGACAAAATGTGTGTATTCCTCTCATCTCTGGTAGAGATTAAACGTCTTCATTGCTTAGGGACCTGAATATATCAACATCTGCCTTGTTCAAGTTGTAATTACTCTTTATTTAAAGCTGCACTTGATGTTTGCAAACCAGCTTCAGGCTCATCGACGCAGTCTGTGGGCGGACGTACACCTCGCTGCTTTAAATCCTTTCCGTGTGAACAGTGACATTGACATCATCAGCTTCCTGAACTAAGTACAAAGTGTTTAAAGTCGTGACACTATTAGAAACAGTAGATAAAAGTTCTGTTGTCAGTTGAGGATGTTAAAGAACAGAGATGAAAGACAATTACTGTAAAATATATAGAAGAATGAAGTGTATTTACAGCTGATTCATTTATTATGATGCAAAGCTTGACTGTGAATATGAAATATGTATGAGATCTTAACTCACACTGTGAATAATAAAGTAACTGATGTCGGATCATTTCTGACTCTGGGATATTTGATTGGTGCTAAACTGGGTTTTTTCAGTAGAACTCTGTATTTCACCTCAGTAGGACGGTGTAAAAAAAGAAAGTGTTAACTTATTAACTTGTGTTCTGTAAAGAAAAGTGTTTTAGGTGTAAAGGTTATTTATTGACAAGAAGAACCACCATCACTCTGAACAGTCTGTGCATCTTGTTTTCATTTTACAACATCGATATCATGCGGTGTTACACCCAGGATTTGGTTAATACCAACAGCATACAATAATAACTCCTATACAAACGTACATACATACAGTATCTATACAGGATATATAACTATGTTGATGAGTAAGTACAGTGGATCCTCATGGTGTTAGAATCACAGGAGTGGAGTTCAGAGGAAGGACACTTTCTGGTGGATCAGAACAACTTCCTGTGGCGCACCTCAGATGGTTGACATGGAAATGAAACTGTTTCTCATCAGAAGCGTCAGAAGGTCAAAGCTCGGCCACTGGAACGGCTCAGTGACACGACGACTGAAACAACCTATAGTTTTTAAATGTTTGATTTCCTGATTTTAAATCACATGATAAAAATCACCCGACAGGAACTTTAAATTTACAACATCATAATGAACGTTTCATATGAAATACATGTTGCATGAGTGAGTTGTTGAATGAATCGAAGGCAAGAAGCTCAGTGAAAGGCGACGAGTGGTAATTTTAGTCAAGTATGAAAAAGGTCCAGATGCTACAGATGCTTTGGAAAGATTTTTAACCATTTTCATGCCAAAATGTACAAGTACTTAGTATTTTGTCCTTTAACAACCATTCTTCTTTATTCTATAATTAGACTTTATTGTCATAATTTTACGAATTTCTTCTCGAATATGACTTTATCATTTATCGTTATCATATATTTTGATTTTATTCTCAACATCTCTGCTTTTCATCTTTTTCTAGATCTCTTTCATCTAATTCAGCATCTTCTTATTTTCAACATAGTCCAGAGTTATGATTTGATTGTTGCAAAAGTTTTCTGTAAAATAAAGACTTTGTTCTCAGAATGTATTTTGCCTTTAAGTGAACCCGATCAATTCTACATTAGTAGATCAGAGGGAAATGGCAGCAGCGTGAATATGATCTCTCGCAGCACGTTGGCCTCTTCGGTTTATCATTAAATATTCCATGGCAGCCATCTTAGATGATCCAACTCATATCCAGTTACAAGACGACTCGTGTGAATGCAGTGATCTGTTGGGTGTGCTGAGATTGGAGACGTATCTGAAGTCAACAGGTAAATTATACGAATGTACCGACGACGTCATCATCACCGCACTGAATGAACCAAAACTAAAAAGGCACTGATTTTTTTTTTTTTAACACAAAACATGTCAGGCTTCGTTTCTTTTGAGTTTTCATTGAGTTCATCTGCTCGAATATCACGTGGTTCAACTGTGTGTGTGGAGTTAAACCATTGGATCCTAAAGTTACATTAATTTTGTTTTGGCCACTGGGGGGCAGCAGAACAAGCTAAAAAAACCAAAACATTTTAAGAGAGAAACATTAGAATTCAAATACTCAAATAAATACTTATATTCAGTTTCTTTTGTAGCTCTGGCCTCCAACCACTCCTGAGAAATATCTTGCTCGTTAGCTGCTAAACGCTCCACCATGTTCACCTGCTAGCTGAGATCACGGTCCAAAGAAAGGCCGGTCGCAAGTTTACACGAAGTTTTTGGCTGAAAACAGTTGCATGCTAATGGCGCTACAAACAAAGGCAGTAAGAGCGTAATTTGGTTGTTGGAAAAGCAGAACTACGAGATAAGACGAAAAACGAAATTTTTACGAGGGGGCATCGTCAGCTGCTTGGGACAATCTCCAGAGTTTTTCCTGACTCTGTCCCTGGAAACTCTGAAGATTGTCCTAGTGAGTCCATGTGAGGACACAGCAGGATGTTGTCCAGACGATTCATCACAAGCGTTTCTAACACGCGACAGACGTTAAACTGGAAGAACCCAAATCTCGTCGTACACGTAGAAGACGAAGACGTCAACTTGGAAAGACGAGGAGATTCCAGATGTTTGGGTGATAGCGGCCGACGCCGGTGTGGACGAGCTGTAACACTGATCTTTCCACAGCACGTGTTCCTGTTGTTGTGAATGAGTCGGACGATCTGCTGCTTCACAGGACAAACACAAACCACGAGAGAAACTATGGTTCATGTCTGAAAATGGCTCATGGGTGACATTTGATCCACTTTTGAGAAATCGTGGTTCGATGTAGCTTGAGCTAATCTTCTAACGGCTGTTTTTATCCAAAGAACTCAAACTGTGGGTGAGCCTTCGATAACAAAGTGCAGTGTTTCTTTTTAAATGAGAAGTATTTACTTCCACATTGACGTGACCCAACCATTGGACAGACGACGCAAAAGAAGTCAAAGCTAAAAGTATCTGTTGTGTTGAATTGCACAGCTTCGTTTGGCCCCTGTCTTTACACAGTTAAGGGAACAGTAGTGAAAACCTGCATAATGGATTTGTGGATGAAACCACAAATGGAAGAAAAGGAATGTGAAGGAGCAGGAAGAGAACTCAGGCATCTCAACACCAATCGTCTCCAACAGTAGATTGTCAAGTCTGGGGATTTGTAAGACACAGAATTATATATATTTATGTTTTTGGAAAGATCAATCTGTGCAAACAATCAAGCAGGTTCATTTGTGTGTGTGTATATATATATATTATATATATATTGTCTTTGAAACTATAGGGGGCGTCCTGGTTGATAGGGAGCTTCTTCTTTCCCGCTGCGTCAAGTTTGAAGCTAATTTAATGACAGAAGATTTACCAACTTTTACAAATTTAGAAATTAAAGCTTAAGCTGTGTCTCAATTCAGGGACCGCCTCCTTCAGGGGACACGACCTACGCAGCTACGAGGGCGGAGTTCTTCGTGGGCCGTAAAGACGGCGAAGGCCGAACCTAAACGAGATGCCCCTTGGTTTTTTTAACATGTGTATCATTAGCTGTTCGGTTGAGTGCATCAGCCGTCTCATTGCTTGCCGGCGCCATTACCTCTTTAAAAAACAGTTGACCAAAGAGCAATGAATCCTGGGAAAGGTTTCGCTCGATGAGGATCGACCTGTTGACGCATTTGAAGGAACCTGTAGTTGTTCGAATGCAGCCTCCGAAGGTTAGGACCGTGAAATGAAACATTTAAATGGCCGACATGACAGGTCGGCAAAAGTGAAGTCAAATCGTCTGTATCGCCCCCTGGTGGCTGGCTACAGTATAGGTCATAAACCCTGCCTCCTCCATGTTAGCTGATGGGACAAGGGCCAAACTAAAAAGTCAGCTCGATTTTTCTCGGAGCTGGTTTATATTGTTTTAGGTAGTTGATGTGACGTTGTGATTGACACCTGAGCAGTTACGTGACCTGCTGAGTTGTTGACGTGATTGACGCAGAATCATAATGGATCAAAAGTAATTAACTTTTGATAAATTGTGCGAATTTATAACTACTTTTTTGGGACGGGGGGGGGGGTCTTCGCTAATCAATTTCTGCTGATTCATGGAAACATATTTAGGCACAGGGTCCAGAGACTATGAACCGTAAACCTTCTGTCTTTAAATTGAGTCCGTACTCCCACATTTGTACCTGCCGACCCCTATGTGTAGTTACATATAAGTACTTTTACTCTATAAAATATATCATTAGCAGATATTTGTTTGGGTAGATTTATGTTACATCTGTTCGGGACATCTCATGTGATCCTATCCATCCATAGAGGTATTTAATTTGTGACATGGTCAAAGGGAGGAAACGCTCGCTGTGTCACAGCTAAGAAAAGAAAATCCACCATGCAAGTACTCTGATGAAGATATATCAGCGGTCCAGTCTGTGGTGTAAGACCAGGCTTACATGCACAAAGTGAGTATTCAGTACAAAGGATGGAGGACAGGTGCTATTCGATGAAGATGTCTTCAGTGGGACAGGAGTAGCCGATGTGCTGCTTGTAATACTGCTGGAACGCCCTCCTGTGGAGAGAATCAGGAAGGTCAATGACCAGAACTGCACTTTGTCCTGGGGTCTAGTTGGGGTTGGGTCCGACTTTGCTTGGGTCAGAAAATTAATTTACTGAATGTAGACCAGATAAAATGATCACGGTCATGTGATATGGGACCAGCCGAGTTTCCAAACTTCAGTTTCAGCGACTCTACAGCTCCAGAGTCATGTGGACGTGTCTGGAGCAGAGTTGATGCGTAGTCGTGGCCTGAGACCAATAGTCTGAATCCCAGTCCAACTAGAAGTTCGTCTGAAAATATGTTTAGAATGTGAAATGTAATAAGATTCAGAAAAGGATTCTCGAGGTCTTACCCCACAGACTCAGCCAGAGGATGTAATGTTGTATCTGACATCATCACGTGACAAGCGAAACGTTGTTGGTCGGGATGTTTGGTGATGAAACCAAAATACCTGCAACGCAATAATCAGCATCAGGTTTATTTAGTTTTCGTTGAGGCAAACCTTCACGTCACTGATTTGATAAGACTTTAACAGACTGTGAGAAAAAGAAGAGAATAATTGCTTCGATCAAATTCACCCTCGGGTGTCGTTCCACTCACTTGCTGTGTTTTGGATGGCAACCACAGAATGAGATGTTCTTCAACTGGAAAAAATGGAAACACTGGTCCCCCTGATAGAGAAAATATATAACATGAATGACTGAACTAAACCTCTACACATACTTAATAACCCTGACCCCTGACACTTACTGCTCAATGCAACCACAGAGCGCGAAACACCCGACTGGACCAACTGGATTTGAAAAGGTGTGACACTCACAATGAAAGGAAGGAAGGAAATAAGGAAGGTAGGAAGGAAGGAAGGTAGGAAGGAAGACATACCCTGTGAGCAGAGTGACACTGGTCCTGGACGTTGATCTTCACCCCCTTCACACTGACCTCCAGCACACAGGCCGAGGGAGGCTGACCTGCTAACCGCCTGTTACATGCAACCTGGGAACACAAATAACTGATCAATAATCAATAAGAACTTCATCTGGGTGATTTGTGTGTAACGGGAGTTTGTCTGCATTCAAAGTAACACGATGCTCCCACAGGAAAGACTTGTGCCGAGTAAACACGAAGCTAAAGGAGCCAGATCTGTGCTGTAATGTTCTTAATAAGGATTTGGACCAAGTGAAGGATTTTAAAGAAACACGCTTATATAACAAGAAGCCAGTTAAAGGGACAGTTCACACAAATCCCACATTGTTTAGTTTTATTTGTCTTGGTTGAAGATGCCTGCCTCCTCCTGAATACAGTAGGTGGATGGAATTTCACTTCATTTTTATTTAGTTACTTGTTTAACACGGTTTATCTCCATCAAACGAAAATCCTAAAGGGTGGCAGGTGTTTTAAAACCCATCAAATCACCTATCACACTATCTGCACGGTCAGATACCAGGAGAGAGGAAAACGTGTCGTCTGTCCTCGGTTTCAGAGCAGCGTCGTCAGGGTCGTGTCTGCACGGACGAGCAGAAATCTTCCCAGGTTGTTTTTGTGCTTAAAACTGAGTGAATTGCAAAAACAACAAGTGTAAAATATTATTCCTCCAAGAAGAGAGAGATGAAGAGTCGCCAGATCGAGTTTCTAACTAACACCAGCTGGTTTGTGGGTGAGATATATATTTAGATATTTCAAAATCGAATGAAATCTACTTTATTGTCCCCGTGGAGAAATTATTCTCGACCAAAGTACCACAGCAGCTGCAGAACAGCACATCGTTCAATAAACAACAAGAACAAGCACACAAGGACAAATCGCACACAAGGACATAATAATGCAGAATAAAAGTGAGCTGAATATTATTTGCTGCCCAGTAGAAATGAAGGAAGCTGGAACTCCCAGGATTTTCCTTTTATAACAACTGTGGTTAAGAAATGGTAATTTTCTTAGATCAGCTGTTAGAACGCTGACTTGAGGGTTGTTAATGTTCAACAGGAGGTTTAAATCCTCACCACCTCATTTCAGCTCATGAAATATTGTCGTTCCAGTGTTTGTCGTGGTGCCGTTGTGCAGTATCTGTATTTACGTACCTTCTGCATCGCGACACACATCACGTCGCTGCCTTTGTGGACTGGGACCTGAACCGAACCAAGGAATCGCACCAGGAACTTTTCTACCCAACCGTCTTTCTGTACTGTGAGAAGGAAGAAGAAGAAAGATCTTTAATTATCACCGATGATGATGATGATGATGGTGATGATGACGTTTTTAAAGGCCAGTTCTTTGCGGCGTACCTTGGTTCATATCTTTGTCCAACTTGACGACGTAGAACGCAGGGAAAATGCCCGTAGCTCCGGTCCTCATGTTGTAACCCTGACACCACAGGTCCTCGGACTGCTTCAGCAACAACACCGGGTCGTCCGTCTCCAGATGAAGCTCATCCGCATGACGGGGGACAAACCTAAACCCAGGACAGAGGAAGAGCAGATTTAAAGTCTGGTGTGTTGGATTTGGACACGTCATCATCATCAACCTGTGTCTGTTCATGTGTGTTCAACCTGTAGACGGCTCTGTGGCTCTGCGGTCGTTCCACTCCATCCAAAACACAGGAGAACACACCAAAACTCCCAGCGCCTGAACCACACAGCACTTCCATTACACTCACACAGCTGATTCAAAGATAAACATTTATAATACTGACTTTAAAAACTCTGCTTGGATTCCAGCTCACCAGTGGCGCTGTAATGGCTGTTGTTGGCAAACAGGTTGAGGAACTTCCTGCTCCTGGGAGCTCCGCCCCTTCCTCCGAGAGGCTCCTCATCCTCGGTTGCTGTGGTTGACGTTACCTTGGACTGTCTGCAGATCTTTGTTACGACGTCCCTCCTCCTCTTTACCTCCTCCTCTCTCCTCCTCTTCACGTCCTCTTCCCACTTCTTCTTTGCCTCCTCCTCTTCCTTTCTTTTCTCTGGAAACAAGAGAAGTTAAAACTGCAGTCTAGAAACTCTGCGAACAGATTGTGTCGGTTTGGATTCTACTTGAGTCTCTGCTGAAGTTACAGCTGCTCATTCTTCCAGTGCACAGGTTTTACATTGTTTTCCAGAGATCTGGTGTGTTATATGGTCGGTGGTGTTCCGCAAGGGTTCGTTTTGGGTCCTCTTCTCTTTTCTCTTTTTATATTTCAAACTGCCAAAGATTTACATGATCAGATTACCAAAGAGATTAAATGATTGATTTCTCAATCATCAGGACAAAACAATTATTATTATTTTGCTTTAAACTTAAATCTGTTCTGCTTTGTGAGGGAAATATACTCGGACATGTTAAAAAGAAACTTCATCATTACCTTGGTTCCTTGCTCCCTTGCTCCTCTTCCTCTCCTCCTCGTACTCGGGGTCTTCCTCCTCATTGGCTGACTGATAGACTGTCTCTGTGTCGCTGTCATCGTTGTGCTCACTGTAACCGTGCAAACAGTCCTGCAGGCGGACCAGCTCCAACTGAGCGTGTTCATCCACCACCAGAGTGTATTTCACAGAGTCATAATTCAACGCTGCTGCAGTTCCGCTCTTTGGTAGAGTCCGAGCAGCCACTGCGTCTCCCTGAGTGACAGCTGAGTCGGTGCCGTCCACCTCAGAGTTACTGTCACCTCGTCCCCCCCCTGCATCCACCTCTGACGTGGTGCAGTCCATCTCAGTGATCTCATCCCCCGCAGGGCAGAGGGATGGACCGTCCTGGACGTTCAGACAGGGAGTCGGGTCTCCCTCCCCCTCCTCCTCCCTGATGTCAGGGTTGGTTCGGTGGGATAAAGATGGATGCAGGGGGCCAGGTGGGGGCCCCTCTGTGTCGGAGCTGAGGGACATCCTGTTTGAGCCCCCCTCACTGCTGGACCGGGACATGGCAGGGGGGTTATCCTGGGTCCCGTCATGGCTTTGGCCTAGCAACACAAAATATGGACCAACAGAGTAATTTGGAAATGAAAAGTATTTGTAAACCACATCACATGTTTGTTATAATAGATAAATAGATAAAGTGATAGCCATGTGGTTTCTCTACCTTGCTCCTGGGTCTTGTCCTGGGTCTTGTCCTGGGTCTCGTCCTGGGTCCTCGGTGCTACAGGTGTGCGTGGGACCACCATGGCCGTCAGGTAAACCTCCTGGTTGGACAGCATGTTATTTGGTTTCAGTCCCCCTCCTCCCTTGTTCCCCACTTTAGAGCCCACTCTTCCTTTCCCCTCGGCCCCTCGGCTCTTCAGTCCGTTGGTTTCTCTGGGCCTCTGATGTCCATTCCTCTCCTTCTCCTTGGCCTTGGCGTCTGCACACAGCCTCCCTGTTCTCCTCTCCTCCCTCCCTGATGTCACTCCATCCTTCCCCTTGACGTCCCCCAGGCTCCTGTCTCTCATCGCTGCTGCTCCTCTTCCTCCTCCTCTTCCTCCTCCTCCTCCTCCTGCTGTGGCTGCTCTCCTCTGACTCCTCAGAGTGATGGAGGCCTGTGTGTGCGGGGCCCCCGACGCCTGTTTCTCCCTCAGACGGGTGCGAGCGTCTGAGGAGGCGTTGGCAGCAGCCTGAGTGTTGGTTCTGCTCTTGGCCTCATTGGCTGCAGGTGGTTTAGGTGCTGGGCGGCGCGTGTTGTTCCGGACTTTGTCCTCTGCTTTTGGTTTAACATCCGGTGGTATTAGATCCCCTGAACACACACACACACACACACACACACACACACACACACACACACACACACACAGTATCAGATTATGTATTAGGCAACCAGATATATACAGCTGGATTAAATGAAAACAGCCTGTAAGCAGTTTATGCTGGATAAGAGTTTCAGGAACAGAAGAAAACAATTTTACTTAATTCAAATCTGATTTTATTTTTTACGAAAATGCATAAATCAGCATTTTCAAACAGGACTAGAATAAAGAAAAGCAAATATCCTCAGACACTTTACACACGTACATTTGTCTCGTTTTCTGTATTTGTCGTCATTTGTAACTGTACCGTATAAATAAAGTTGTTATAATTATTACATTATACAGTGGTTTGTAATGTAATGAAATAAAAAAGTGTTCAGCAGCCTCTGTCTGACGGAGTCGATGGACGGAGGGACAGAGACGCTGCTGGAGGCCGAGCAGCTCCTGCTTCAGGCCTGGATCAAGTTTCACAGATGTCCCATGATGCTGCTGTTTTCTCCATCACTTATTTTGTTCAGCGCCATCTTGCTACCAGAAGTGACCATATTTGGAGGAGAGGTGGGTGGAGCCTGACTGACAGCTCGACATGCCCACCTACACCTGCCGGATGAACTGTCTGTCAATCACAGCCTTCACCCGCCAACATATCCCAGGATTCATTGCACTCCTTTGACAAAATGCTTTTAATGAGACATCCAGTGTTTACACTTTACGTGTTAAGTAATTTTCTCATAGACGTCTACAGAGACCGGTGGAGTCGCCCTCTGCTGGTCATTCCAGAGAGTCCCGGTTTCAGACACTTCCTCATTGGCTTCACTTTCTGGAGTCTACGTCCATTTTGTTTTTCTACACACAGTCTGTTGTTCGTACCTGTGATGTGAGGAGAGGACGAGTGGGACTCCTTCCAACTTTCCTTCTTTCCAAAAGAGTTGTTGTTGATGGAGTCCTGCAGAGAGTCGAAGAGACAGTGTGAGTGAGAGCTGGATTAACACACACACACACACACACACACACACACACACACACACACACACACACACACACACACACACACACACACACACAC